CATGAAGCTGCTTGGCCTAATCTCATATTTTAACATTTAGTTCTCTTACCCGAGTCCAATAGCATTTTGTGTGCCTAGATCTGAAAAAGTATTCATTGTTATGTTCATTTGTAAAGATGATGAACAGCTTGGTTGACTTTCTAGGCTATTTTTTCTTTTGTACCTAAATTCGCTCTGCTCTCACATTGTTTTGACATAGGTTTGATCTGCCAAATAAATCTAAATTGATCTAGGAGCATTTTCGAGATAATCCTAAAATATTAACTGTAAAACTAAAACTATCAAAATTCAATATTTGCATAAGTGTAAATAAAAATGTAAATGACAGAAAAGGTTATACGACTCGTAAAATGCAGAATTAAAAAAGCGACACATTTGATTTTACACATGGCAGTATGAGGAACACTGGCTCTTTATCCCACAGGAGGAGCAGATGCTTGGATTGGGTTAGAGCTCAAATCAGGTATAATGTTTCATGTTCACACATCTCTGCCAGGAATATATTAAATTAGAAGATGTAACAGCCTGTCCTCACCCAGCTGTTACAAAGGGTGAATACCACCAAAAAGCCAAACAATTAGTATAAGGTGTCTATGAATCTGTCTTATTTTAACAGCTCTATGTTTTTGCCACTTAGCTAAAAGTCTAGTCACCACACATTTTATAGCACTGTTATGATAATATTCACTTGACTCTTTACATGATGTGTGTTTTTCATGAAACCCTAAGGCTAAAATGTATGATTTATCATTTCATGGTCTGTTATGTGTTTGCATATTTTATAAAAAAATATATATGTTGTTCGTACAGGCCTATTCATGCTTGTTGGGGCCCAATACTATAGTTGTTTTTATTTTTACCTGAAAATGGTGTCGACCCCACATTCCAAAACAAAGTGACACCCATTGCTGACTGTTGCATGAGCATCTGTCAAAAAAAGTAATGTAATGAAGCGGAGGTTGTGCCGCCAGCCAGGATTTGGCACAGCCAAGGGGAAACCAGCAGTAAAACAGACTGGTGTGAACTCAATGACCTCAGTGTTTAAACTGGATTGACCCTGGATTTACTGTAGTTACACTGAACATCAACATCTGCTGACAGAGACCCCTTGTGGGCTTCCGGGCTGAAGTGAAAGCAATGAGCACCCAGGACTGAAGTTGAAGTTGAGCTGCTCTTCTCGTGGATGTCTTGAATGGGATTTATAAGAAATGTATTATCAATTAGGAAACTATTACATCTCCAGTCAGAGGACACATCTTTGTATCCAGAATTAAACTTTAACATTTGATTAACAAGTAAATTGCATCTTAAAAAATTGCATCACATTTGAACATGTAACTGAATCCCTGTTTCATAGTGTGATTTGTTTTTATGTTTAAAGATCATGAAAGATATGTTAAGAAGCAAGGGTGGAATGGTTCTGGTTCATATTTTTCTTTTGTAAATCACATTGTCTGCTTTGGAACCAGGCAGCAGCTCGCAAAATAATATATATGTGTTTGACCATCCATTTGTAATAGTGAAACAGCAACATTGATCATCTTAAACAACCAACCTCAAAAGGGAAACAGTTATTCATGGTATCATTAATGTTTCCAGCCTTTTCTGCTGAAACGTCGATTCATGTTAGGCCTTTTGTTTTGGCTTAAATAAATTGTTACTTCTTTAACGTACCAACACATATGATAATCTCTGGCAACATTATACAATGAAACAAAATCAAAGGAGAATGAATAATGTTTAAAATAAATGTAAAAATAATTGTGAGGTATTGCTTTTGGTGGATTATAATTTAATGTAACTTAATTTAATTTAAACCTGTTAGGAAGAGTTCATTTAGAGTTAGTAAATGTAAAGATGGTTCCTCTGTTTGTTGAACTCTACTGCCAGCATGTGGTGAAAGAGAGGAGATGGCCCAAAAGTCTCTTTGCATGGGATTGTTTGACATAAAAAAACGCTTGAAGGACAACAATTTAAATGTCATGACCTATTCCTTTATTTTACTTTTAAGGATGCTGAATCATTTTGCTGTGTTAAAGGAACAACAGAAACAATAATAGGGCTGCTCTTTTGACTACTATATCTGCTGAACAACATCAATAACAACCACAGTCAGTCAGATTGTCATGTTATCAAAGATGAACAGCTGTCTCTTGAGAGTGATTTTTCTAATTTCAAAAGCCATTTCCCAAAGTAAAATGAAAACTAGAGGAAGGTTGTTCATTCTTCTAGGAAATTTGTTTTTGCATCAATCAATACCATTTTAATAAACCTTGCCTTGTGTCTCTTATCAGAAGGCGTGTACACAATATAGCCTATCAAATCAACTGCAGAAACCACTTCAATTATATCCAGGCTGGGGCTCTTACTGTTCGAGATTCACACATTTATGATATCCATGTCTCTATTTTGAATTGTAGTTGCCCATCTTTTAGACAAATATAATAATGTTCAACTGTATACGAGCGTGTAGTGCAGGGTTGCCAACTTTGGGTACCTGGCTGGAGTGAGATTTTGATATCATGGGTTTAATTACACATGCTCACTAAATGACTGCTATCGTGTCAGTAGCGGGACCTTAGCATATATATATAGGATAGGCTATATATACAATATATACAAATACACAATATTGGACACAGACTAAAAAGAGCACACATTTTCATTCACTAATGAAAGTCAAACACATGCTTGTTTCCACTGTTTTATTGTGTGCCTGTCGCGATAAGCAATTATTGACTTATCGTACGATAAATAAAAATGAACTTGATACATTGCCATTTACATGAGGATGTGACTAGCAGTTTGAAAGGATGTACTTGAATTATTATTATATATTATCATTATGTCAGTGGTCTAAAATGGTCATACAACGGTGCCGACAATATTATCGTTTATCGCAATCATTTCCGGGAAAATGTATCCAACAAAATTAATTATCGTGAGAGGCCTATACATGAAACACACACACACAAACAAATCTACAGACTTACTCCAAACTGCCAAATATATTAATTAACTCACTCTCCTTTTCATATACTCTTTGACTCTATTTTGGCCTAGTAGAACAATAAGCAGCAGACTTTTACTTTGTTATCATTTCTACTGGATCTTAGATCTGCGCATGCGCAATACGGGTCAGGGATTGACCAACCGGCTCCCACTGCTCTACTGTCTGTTAACGTTAAGAGTGGTGGGGGCGGGGAGGGAGCGGATGGGCAGCTTGAGCAGCTGTCAACTCAACATTGTAAATAACCAACCAAAAACGATCGCCGGTTCATCTTGTTTTTGGCGTGAGAATAGTTTGGGCAGCGTAAAAGCGTGAGATTGAGAGTGAAAGCGTGTGTCACACGCCAGATGCGTGAGAGTTGGCAACCCTGCAGTGTAGTGACAATTAAATAAAAGACAGAGAAGACCTGAGCCTCTCATGTGTTACATCCAAGTCCTAATTATAATTATTTATTATTAGTATTATTATTGCTGAGAGATCCAGAACTTTAAAATAATTGTGATAACATATGTATCTTTCCATTCTGACATTAAGTTTGATCTCACAAACCAGATTCGTAATGTTGTAATAGGAGAAAAACCCCAGGGATTATGATGTTTGGGGAGGATGCTGTGTTGGAAAGCAGTAAAACAAGATGGCGCTTTAATCCCCGGAGCCAACAAAACGCTCATATGACCGACTTGATAATGCGATTACTTCTGCCATCTGTTCACTCTACACACTTTAGTTTCAGGCTGACATTGATTCTTTTATTATAAAACTGAACATTTATTTTTGATTGTATTTGATTGAGGAAAGAAAATAGTTAAGTATAGCAATTAATAGCAGACTATGAGCTACACAAATGCAGCCTTTTACATGATCACCACAAAAAGGATTCTTTCCACATCCCGTTTAATATCAAATAGGTCATGTCGTATGCAAGGATGATTTTATGCTTCAGGAGAAACCCTCTTTCATCCGGTTTCTGAGATGGTTATTTAATTCCCATAAAAGTTAAATTGCTCATCTTAAAAGGGTTCTATGAGTTATTGATTAAAGCTCCGTTTCCTCTCATGTATCTGATCCTGTCTTTTTTTTACTTTCAATTTATGAACTTATTTTGTCCACATGTACTTTCTTCACTCTGAACAACTGACAACAATGAAGTACAGGCATTTCAACTACGATGAGAAGGCTCAGATCCTTACCATCAACCAAGTTTTGCTCTTCCGATTAAAAAATATGATGCTCTCACTTTGAAAGCCTACTTATGATTTTAGAATGAAACCTTTTTCTTTATCTCAACACACCTAAAAGCTTCTGCACCATTCACAGCAGCATGAATGATTTAGCAGAATGTCCCAAGCGAGATATGCATTTTACAGAACGGACAACACTTGATCAACCGTTAATGAGGCTCCCCAAAGCTCCTGCTGTCCACATGCAGCCAACACACACATAAATGAATGGCCGTCTGATCGGCTCTGCTGGAATTACAGTGCTTTGCTACAATGGGTGAAAGAAGTGTTGTAGTCCATCTTATCTGTGGACAGCTCATCCATAACCTGTCCTAGTCCCACTCTGTCGCTGTCTGCTGTAAGTGCTGCAGGTGAGAGAGTGGATCAATACAATCTTCTACAAGTTAAAAATAAAACAAGTCACATTTATCACATAAAGAAGTGGCTGGTTCATTTTTAAGATCCCAAACCAAAGGAGTCTAGTACATGGGGAGGAGGAGGAGGAGGCCTGCTATTCTGTAAAAAACCTGTTAGAGGGAAAGGGTGGCGAATATGGAAAAGGAGACCAGGCCAGGCCACCAAGCAATACACTGCTCAACAACTCAGGATAGATTAATAAAACATTAAGTCGCAACATCAGGTCAGGATGAAGAGGATGTTTTTAAAGCACTGAGCCATCATCAGGAAAGCAACGACAAAGCTTGTGATCTTCACTGTGAAACATGTAGCTTGTGTCGAGTGAACATCACATACATCAAATATACACAAACTTCTTTTGATGTCTTTATTTGATCATTTTGCGTTTTCTTTTTAACAACAATTTCAAGCTTTGCACAAAAAGATTCTGACCACAGCAGCCTGTGCTCTGCTTTATATCTGGGCTGCGGGATGAGCATAACATCACAAATCAGATCCAGCCAATGACTACATACCTAATTACAAGATTCAAAGACATCTGAGAGGCGTCCAATTGGATATCATGACACTATGCGGTGATAACTGATTTTTCTCCATGACCAGAAAGTCATATTTCCACCAAAGCACATTTAGTAGTTAGGCCACCCAATATAATTCAAATCAATATCATCAGTGAAATAAAACCCTGTGAGAAAACAGTGCGAGTGCTCAATCAAACCCATCAAATGAAGGAACAATAACATTTTAAATAATAATGTTAATAATAAGTGTTTTACACATTTTTATTCCAAACAGAAAAATAAATTCCTTTGGTCAAGTAAAAAAAACTAAAACTAAAATAATAATAGTCAACTTCTTTTCACCAGTCTTATGTCCCTCATGATTCTGTTTCTACTGCCAACCAGGTTCTTGAGGCTCTAAGGCTGCAAAGGAGGTGTCAAGGCAATATGGTTATGGTGCCCCTGGCGCTCCATGCTGCAGCATGCTGGGAGGAGGACTAGAGGAAGAGGAGGAGTGGGGGGGGGGGGCAGAGGCATTGGAAGAGGGCCAGTGAGTCCTCAGACAGCAGGTGACGGTGCATCGGGGTCAGGCTCGTTGCTGTAGTTGTTGCTGTAGTGATTGCCACCAGGCAGCTGGTTAGACAGGTTGTCCAGTTCGTCCACCTGGGGGCCGGGGTGCATCACCAGCTGGTCCTGGGGGAAGTCTGCTGCCGCGGCTGCCAGGTTGGTGATGGACTTGGACTTCACACACTGGAAGTCCACGTGGCGGCTTTTACCCTCCTCTTTTTCCCAGGACATGCGGATGAAGGGCCTCTGGACGTAGTTGTAAATGACCTCTGGACGTCCACCGGGTCGCTTTTTGACCTTCTCTTTATATGTAGGGTAGCCTGTCAAAAGAGAAGTGTGGAAGTATCATTAGCTTTTTACTGTCATCCGGGAATACAAAAACACCAGAATGAGGACACGAAGGTTTATTCACCAGGAGGCGACGTGCTCAACACAATAAACATTTTTCAAGGAAATAATTCTGGTGTTTATTTTATGACTTTGGTATTTCCATATGATTGAATGGAGAACATGGTTGAACTTACCTTCAATGCCCAGTCTTATTTTCTTCAGTCCTCTGTCTTTTAAAACTGATTTGGCAACATCTCGGTTTTCAATATACTTGAAAAATCGGTACAGTTTTGTGCTGTAGATAACTGCAAAGAAAGAAAACAACATTTGAACACACGTCTTTCTTTTGTATACGTGCAGACCTGTGTGTCTGTAATTGTGTGTACTCACTCTGTGAATACTCTTCTCCCATTTGCGGTGGGTATTCTTCATCCCAGTCCACCACATCATCATCAGTAAGGACTACAATGTGACACTCCCTCTCTCCGCTCTGGGCACTGGCCACCATCAAAGGCAGAACCATTTCCTCCAGGTAAAACTCAAATTGCCGTCGAGCTCCATCATTGGACAGCTCATGCATCAGAGCACCTGATAACAACGGAGGGCGTTTGGGTTATACAATGTGAACCAAGTCATACTGGCTCTCAGTGCTCTACACCATGTAATATAAGAGTAATGAAAAATCTAGCTACAATAGATTAGATTTGTGATAATCCGCTTTATTTGTGTTGTGTAAGGCTTTAGTGCGAGGCAAGGCAGTGTTGCTGTGTCTCTTACTCTGACTCAAGCTGCTTCTGTTAATGGGTAACACTAACAGCCCTAGCCCCCCAGAGGAAATACTCACTAAGGTCTCTGCACTTGATGGTGCTGTAGTCAAAGGAGATGCATAGATAGTCACACGCCTCACGCAACTCAGGGATAGAGATTCCATCAGGACAGCGGATTACCCCAGATTTATAGTAATCCTGTCAATTAGAGAGAAATCACAGAAGGCAGTCATTTCAAACACTTTATTAATACCGTAACACACATGAAATATCAATAAAATAATTCCGTAAGTATGAAGTATATTTAAGCGGATAAACGCCTGGCACCATCGATCAATGGGAAGCTAACATGCTACTTTAGCTAGCTTGCATGATTTTATTTGCCTCCCTATTAATCCCACCGTTCTCTAGATAAAGTGTGTATCAGGATTATTTTTCTATGAATCCCATTCCTATGAAGGTTATTATATTTTGCCTTTTTTTACTTTTGTTTTGTTGGGTGATGTTTTGGACTATGGTCATTTTGTCTATGACTGTAGTCATATTTTAGTCCACCGTCATTTTTATAAACAGAGTAAATGTAAGAGAGAGACTGACCAGAATTGCTCGGAAAACTGTTGAGCTAATGCCCTCAGCAACCTCGTACTCCCCCTTCTCGTTGGGCCTTGTGAAATTATGTTCTCTTCCAGATCCAAACATTCTGAAATAAAGAAACTTTAGTTTAGTCTCTGAATCACAAACAATGGAATTTTCCATTGCTATTTTAAACCCTTATTTAATATCCATATATCTCTAATTGACTGGGTCAAAGTGAACTGTACCTGCCCAACATGGTATTTGGTTGTGCAATGAAGATAGCAGGATCTACTACAAAGCGTGTGTTGTCAACAATCAGAGTGACTCTTTCTGAGGACCTAATGTTTCGGTTTCCCACAGTGGCACCCGCGCCTCCTTCCTTGGGATTCTCGTAGACGAAAACCATTTCTCCAACTCCCATGCTCTTGAAGGTGCCTTCAGTGCTTGACAGGCTGCTAGTGCGACTGCTCACCACCCCGCTGCTGCTGGAGCCGCTGGGGGAGACCCTCTGGGGCCGCGGGCTGCCGGGCCTCGATGACGGACCATCCCGTTCACGGTCTGCACACAGACAGGCAGAACAATGACTCACAGGACTAGTTCCCTTTGAACAGACGACAAACATCCTATCAGAAACATAGAGCAACTTGAAAATTAACGTACATTTTCTAGCATTTTAAAAGCTTGTTTTGGATCATTTTAGTTTTTATGATAAACATTCTTAAGCAACCAGCTTCGTTACCATCTTTGCGATACATTTCAGTAAGGGTCCACTGCTAGTACCATCTGGTCCAAAACAGCCAGACTGAACAGGACCCTACTCAAAATATGTGTGTTGTTTCCAAAAAACAAGCCGTCTTGGTCTAAACATAAACAGGTGGATTACTGCTGACTGGATTTATTTCACAGCCAAAAAAACATGTCTGGTTTCAACTTGATAAATGCTGTCAGCTGGTAAGTAGCTGCCTAGAGCCGGGAATCTCCAACATGATATCCTTGTTGTTATATGCCCTCTATTCTATGCATGCACACTCACCAGTGTTGTGTTGGCGGGTGGGTGAGGTTACGTTGCGAATGCAGGGGGTGAGCTGGCCTTCTCTCTCGTGTGAGGAGTCCCTGGAGCGATCGCTGGAGCGGCGGCGGTCACGTGAACGGTCAGAGCCTCCACTGGCACCATGCATGCTCATATTCCTCTCTTCTGCCTCCACTCGAGACGCTTGGGCCGGACTGCTGCTTTACAAAACAAAAGCATAACAAACATTCCTCTCTCTTTCTCAAGCCCGGATGAGCACTTTATTTAAACTCTAAAATATATAACACACAAGCATGTGTACGTACAAATGAACTGTAAGTGGTGTAACACACTCACACCACTTACAGTTAAACAGGATTTTCAATAGGGCTGGGAAGATTGCATTCAAAAAAATTCCGATTCATAATGATACTTGATTTCCAAAACATAGTTACACAAATATTGATGACGTTGTAAAATAAGATTACTTAATAGAAGTCTGTACATTATATTCATCATTCACAACAGTAAGAGGGTCCAATATTTTCTGGCCATACACATTTTTGGACAGCAAATAAAACCGATTCATTCTTGCTTAAGTAAAAAGAAGACAAAATTAATTTAAATCATTTTCCAGACCTTTTCAAGCTAACATAAGTGGCCTAAAAACAACAACCAGATCTACGACATTCTGTAAGCTTGTAAAAGAGTATGACGCCAAGACTAAGAATGCAGCCAAGTTGGATGTGGAAGCAGCTTGACATCCTGTTTGATGTTTAATACAGAACACTGATCAGACATGCACGAGCTTAAGATCAGAGAAGAAGTGTGTAGGCTTATCAAACCTGAAGGTCAAATCAGAAATAAAACATCAGTATACAGGGTATTGAACCCAATAAAAGGAAAAAAGGAGATGTGATAGGCACAGCTGCAGGGTAATTAGGTGCGGTCAGTACAAACCCACCCACTGACCACAGGCAAACCTCGGAGGTACACCCTTCTTGGCCGGAGACCAAAGGCATAAGTGTCAGCGCTTCCTGCCTGTTCATATCCGCCTTTCTATTGTTCCTTCAGTATACAAACAAAGACCCTACAGGAAAAGGACCTCACTGGGCAGGATGGAGGAACCAATGCCAAAAATGTGAGTTTTCAAATAAGTCAACAAAGTGGAGAGAAATACTTTACGCACCAAAACTAATGCTGTCGATTAGGAAAACCACACCTAAGTGCGAGTGGTGGGCATTGCTGGTGTCATAGAGGCTAAACGTGATGTATTTTGTGCACATCTGCTGCGTATAGAGGTGTTTCGGGATTAAAGCATCTTGCTTTTTAGTGGCCAAATGCTTAGAAAAATAACATTAATATGAAATGTTTGCCTTTAAAAGGGTGTTAGTACATGTTTGAAATGTTGCCATGATAACAGACCTGCTAACAGATCGGTTGCTCATAATGCCATCACACAACCAGTGAAATAAAGGCAAACTAATACTGTCATTGATTGTATAAATGAGCTCTACTCACTTTGCAGACCTCGACTACTTGTATAATTCAAATGAACTTCACATGGTTTACTTTGTACTAAGATTACAACCATCACTTATTACAGAACCAGATTCATGTATAGCATGAGGATAAATAATCTAATACGTACAACAACTGTAGGTTTATCATCTCATATATTTAAAAAAGGTCTGAGTGATACAAAGGCTTTACTCTAATGCCACATAGTCATTTTACACTTCATGTGTGAGTAATGTATAGTGCAGACTCGTAGCAGTGAGTGACACTACACCGCTAGCATGAACAGGAGGGCTGATTCAGCTGGCTCACCTCGAATGCTTGCAGAGTTTGTGAGGTCGGCTTGTTGCGTTTCGAACCCAGTTTTCTGTGTCACTGGAGTTACTGTCATATAACTAGACGTGCTGCCACCACCCGTACAGGGGGGAGTCTGGTCTGGACATTTCACCGTATATTATCTGGTTAATGACGAAATCAACAAGTCAGTTCAATCCCCAGATCAACTGCTAGCAAACCACGGGCTAGCAGCTGTCAGCTAACGTAATAGTTTGACAGGGGGTTCACGTGTGCTGTTGACTTGAGTCTAAAATCCACCTCGGTGATAGTGGTTTGTCCTTGACGTTTGATGGTTAGAGGAGTTGTACACATATCATAACCAAATCAACGCTGCTGACGGTTAGCTTAGCTAAACTACTTTGCTGCGTGAGCATACCTAGCTAGCTAACATTAGCTTGTGTTGCTAGCGGTACAATACAACACTATTAGCATAGTATTCTAGGATAGCATTGCGGCGAGTGGAGTTATACGAACTGTACCGACATAGGAGCCGTCATTTTCGAAACGGGTAGGGCAAACATATATCAAGTATAGTTACCAGTTTGGCTACGTTTTCCGCTGTAGTTTAATCCCACCAGTTAACTAGCCATCTCCTTTTCAAAACACGAGTTGACGTCCGACGTGACGACGGCTAGACGTGACGTACAGACGCACACAAAGCTAGAAATTATGGCTGTTGCCAAACTTGCTAGTTATTCACATTCACTTTGATTGAAACGTATGAAAAGAGATGTACAAAATGTAAATGTTTTGAAGGTTATCGATTTGTTTTCAACATTTGGTAAAGGAGTTTTACTATTTCCCTAAAAGGAAATCGTTTGTTGAAGTCTCGCGAGACTTGCGGCATGTTTCTTTGTTCTTTTTTTTTTCTCCGCTCACTTTATTTATCAATGTAAGCACATACAAACCATAGATACAAACGTATATAAAGATGAACGTCAGGAAATAAACATACATTTGAAAATATACAAACGCTAATGACAAGGAAATGTTAATGAATATAGGAACATGATGAATCAAACAAATTCAATAATCACATTAGCCTACTAGAATACAGTTGGACGTCTAATTTTGCCCGAGGATTTGTAATGTTTCTAATCCTTGTGGAAAATGGAGGTTAATAAAGAGGTTTTGTGATAGATAAGCAATATGCCTATAATTGTTTTTTTAAATGGAAAATAGCTTAGTAACAGATACAATTACAATGGTTATGCATGAAATTATAATTATAAAAATATTCATTTATTTTAAAATGAATACATAAATGAATAAATAAAACAAATAGAAAGATCCGATAATTTAAATCAGCTATGCAACTTTGGAGTATGATTTGTCTATAGGCATGGTAAAGTCTCATAAAAATGAATAAATCAGCCATACAAGAAATCCCTTTTTGAAATAGTTTGTTTTACTGTTGAATCTCACGACCTTGACCTTCCCAGAAATGTTAAACACAATTAGCATCTCTGTTGAGTTGTTGTAGCTCATAAAAGGGACACATGGAAACAATACTGAACAGCTTGGTGATATGATTTTAAAATGTTTAATCAGCACTGAACATGTTTCAATAGAAACCATTTAGTATAGAGGAAAATACAAGGATTGTGCAAGTCAAGACTAGAATGCAAAAACATTAATGTATTCTCCTTCAATTAATTACATGAGAGGATGCCTCTAATGTGCAAGTGAAACAATACATAGAGTACATATAAGACTAGCTGTTTACAGTAGTTGGTCCTTGTTTACACAGTAAAAAACATTAATTTAGTTAATTTAAAACATGTAGTCAGAACGGGAGTATGAGGTAATATTTACCTTTTTTAGAAACCTATGTGTGAAGACATTTTCTTCCATATGATGGCCTGAGATATTGAATTTAACAGTTGCTAGACATTGTAAAATAATGTAAACAAATTAATTAATTTAATATAATTCAAATATTTAACATACGAGAGAGAAATACATTAAAAATAAAATAAGAAAACAAACAATAACAAATCTAATTAAACATTAACAAAATAATAAATTATCAATAGGACAGACATACAAAATAATAACAGCTAGAAAAATGTTTCACTGTCAGATCCTCAAATGTCACATGGGGCTTCTGTTTGATACAATAAAAATCTTAAAAATAGGTTTAATTCAACTTTTCCGCTTTTTCAATCCAAGAACATCCTTTGCGCAAATATTGACAATATTTCCCGATTGTCCATGTTGTAGTTTGGCACTAGCAACGGTGATGTCCTTTAACTTTTCCTGAAGCCAGTCCTGTCTGTCTCCCACTTGTTTGTGTTCCCGAACGTTGTGCATTAGCTGTACCTCACTGATGGTTCTCTTTCTGTAGAAATAAAAAATACCCAGAAATTAATTCATCATAAATGAATTATTTATTATAATTAATTATTTCTAATAATTAACTAATAATTCTTAGAATTCTCAATGAGAATAAAACAAATTCACCTCAGTGGTCTTGCCTCTATGTGTAAACTGGCGAGGAAGAGTATCAGAACCAATGCTTCAAAGTACCTCAATGAAAACATGTTGAGAAACTGAAACAAATAAAGTGAAATAGTGGTTAGAAAAAACAAATGTCCTTGCCCCCTAATATATATTTTTATGATATCCAATTATCCAATTATATATTCAACAACGGATCCACTTTCATGTCATTCTTACCAGGTTTTCTGTCCTTATATCCAGGAAAAATAGGTTTGGCAAGATTTGTTCGGCAAACTTGTTGATCAGTCTTTCGTGCACGGACGGTTCTCTCCTTTATATACAGCGTAGCCCTCCCCTGGTCATCAATAAGCCATTTTCACTGTTGATGTTGATGTCACTTTTCAAATGCATCGATGGGGACAGGCATCTACATGACACCACCTCTACCACCAGTCACTACTAACTCATCTTTCAACACCTCCACAAAGTGCCCCGTTCGTCACCCTGTTTTTGAATTTGTAACATTTATACTAGTCATGCTGAATATCAGGACTTTTGTGTCAGATGAAACACTTTTTATTTATGAAACTAATTTCGTTATTGATCCCTAATTAGATATGTCTCATGCAGTGGGACGGCAGTGAAAACATATACTCTTTGAAATGGCAATGACTGTCAAGCTTAGTTTATTAGCAATGTAATTTATTTTATGGTTCACCTCATGCAAGCATCTAAAGGTCAGGAAGAGGTTAAACTGGGCCAGCTTGAAGGGGATGAAGCAAAGGGACCAATCCAGTGCTGTCAGCCACACAGGAGATGGCCACGACTATTTAGTGCAGGATGTTCATCGAGTCAAGAGACTGCACCTGCTCTTTGACTGAATCTCTGCAGAGTTCTCCTACACATGCCAAATTGTCTGTCAATTACTTCACTGTAGAACCTGGAGAGTACTTACCTTGCATCAGCTGTGGAGTTGTCCACAGATATATGGTCTATTTCAAATGTACATTTTAACAGATTTTTCCCATTAAGATTACAACAACACATCATTGAAATACAGGTACCTTTTCTGCACCCATGACACTAGTAAGAATGAGTCGACTACACATTTGAAAAAATACATGTGTTGAAAAACATAAAGTTAACTTTTAAATATGTAATGCAGCATTGCAGTTAAATGACATATGGGTTAGGGATAACCTTGTCACAGTGTCACAAGGTGCATTAGGTAACCATGAAAGACATTTTCTAAAAGGCGCAAAGGAATGGCTATGCCATGACTGGAGAAAAGAGTGCCACAGAAGGACCTTTATCTTTCTGTCATAATGCTGCCCTGCACAATATGCCCAGTATTTTCAGTGTCCTCAGCATGTTTTCACATTATAATATTTGTCGAGAGGCTTCATTTTTTGTTTTCATTTCAATTGATGATGTAACCCCCAAAACTCAAAATGTTTCATTTTGCAGCAGTTCAAGTGTTATTAATAATTTGGAATACTGTGCATTACACTGCTGGACGTGTATTATTCTCACCATGTAATTAGAATATGCATTATTGCATTATTATGTATATTAATACAGTGTCAGGCTCACTATTTAAGTTAAGAATATGAAGATTTGTCCCATTTACCATCACCAATCTGCCACAGAAATCCATATAAGGCGTTAGTTTGTTACATCAGAGCTGCTCATCTCACTCAAAAAGAAGGTTACATGTAGGGCCATATAGTTGATGCTGAACTGAGTTTCATCAACTCTCTCCATCATGCTCGTAAACAGCACTCAGCACCACCTGTGGTTTCGACTAGGCTAGATTTTTTGTACATGTGGAGTATACTCAAGTGAGTTGCTCTCATTACCTCATGCGATCACAATGTGAGCCATCTCAGCAATGGTATGCAGCTGGTGTGCTAGAGAACCTGACAGGGATTGATGGGAAGAATTGCACGCAAATCATTAACTTGGGTCACCCCCAAGTCACAAAGAAAGTAATTTACCTAAAATGGCTCATCTCTTTGATATATATATATATATAAATGAGTTGGCAGTAAATAGGCTGCCTTTGTACATATTTGGGTTTTGATAGCTCTTTCATTGATTTTCAGATTCATATTTCCTGCTCATATAGTTGTATGGCCTTTGCATTGTACGTTTAAAGGCCTTATATTGAAGGACACCGTGATCACATAATGCTTTCCCAGAAAGCTATAAATGGAGTTACTTATTTCATGAAATGAGGTCACCTCACTGAAAGATATCATGTAACTTAACAGGATAAATTTAGATTGTTGACATCATCCCAACTTCACTGGTGAAACCAAACAAACACATTGTGAAGCCTAGAGGGGGGAGAATCCAGTGCAGCAATAAATCATTCAGATGTGTGGGCAACCAAATCATGTTGGAGCTATTCAACAGTTTCTTTGCCAAACCAAATGTTTTTATTCTTTCTTGAAACAGCTTTGCAGGGACATGCCAGTGGATACCCACACTCACATCAATCTATCACAAACTTTTGCAATGTCCATCTGACTACCCGGCACAGGTGGTGGTGGTGTCAAGTTGGTAGTTAGTGTCTCTTCACTGTTGTGCACATAGAGGCCATGCACTACAAAGAAAGAGCCCAACAGGACATGGCCTGCAGCAAACCTTTACATCTCTTCGTTATCGTCATTAATATTATTCTCATTGACATTACAAATTCTCAACAAAATAATCTAACATATTATTCATCCCCCCAACCTTTTTTCCCCGTTTCCCCGTTACACCTCAATCTGTAAAATCTATGAACACGTCTTGTGCATTGCTGCAGCATATTTGCATAGATCTGTATTTCGCCTTTTGTGGCCCCAGAGGGAGCTGCGTTAAATCTTCACTTACAGTAAGTCTGCATGATATAAACAAGACGATATCTCTCGTTCTGCTGCATTAATGGAGGAGTGCTACTTATGCCAAACCCATTAAATATTCCAATAAGTATATTTTAGAACAAAAGTAACTTATTTCAATGCATTTATCAAATTTGTTATG